GTTAGGAGAATACTGACTGCTGTCCTGTCATTATTCTCCTAAATTGCCACTACTCCTGGGAAGGGTAATACATTAGGTTACTAATACTGAAAGAACTTGAGAAAGAGGGGAGGGGGTGCATCGGGAAGGGAATAAAAGGGGCTCTGAAGACCACCTTTGTGTGCTTCACAGTGACATCTTCTGCAAGAGGGGAAGTGCAGGTCTTCATCTCTCTCTGTCTTTCTCTCTCTGACACACACACACACACACACACACACACACACACTGCAGGATGCCTTCTGACAAATACAATGCAGTGGTGAATTCACCAAACAGGTCTGTTCCCTGAAACACCTACATACAATCCTGCTGGAAGACCTTTGAAACAGCTCTGCAGTGACTAAAAACTCTGTACCCAGCACCACTTGTTTAACCCTACAGTTTACACAGACTAAAGGTAGTTTTCCTTTGGTTAATATGAAAACACCAAATAGATTGCTTTGTTAAATAAAGTGGATTACAGTGAATCTGTTCACTTTTATGTTTCATGTTGCCCTCACTCCACAAATCACAGAAGATATTTATTTTTCCCCCAGTTAAATTCTGTTACCACAACCATTACAAACAAACGTCTATATAACCAAAATGTTACTCAGCCCATTCTGATGGAGCACATGTTAAGTGATGTTTAATGGGATATAATTTGAACATAAAATTCTATCAGTGCACTGTTTTCAAGTCTTTGAATCAGGCCTCCACCTATAGATGTTGGTTATCTATCAGGGAGCAACAGGTGATATTAAGGGTCACTTTGTAAAAGACAGGAATCTCATCCCTGTAATTGACAGGAAACTGACCATATTCATCAGGGTTCTCCAGAGAAACAGAACAGAACGTATATACATATAGGAAGAAATGTTGTTCGAAGAATTGACTCGTGTGTGATCGTGGAGACTTTGGGAACCTAAAATCTGATGGGAGAAGCTGGCATGCTGGAGGCCCAGGGAAGAGTTACAGTTCTAGTTCACAGGTAACCTGCTAGAGAATTCCTTCTTGTTCTGGATGAGTTTGGCTTTTTGTCTATTCAGGCTTTCAAGTGATTGGATGAGACCCACCTACATTATGGAGGGCAACGTTCTTTACTCAGAGGCTACAGATTTAAATGTAAATCTCATCCAAAACACCCTCACAGAAACATCCATAATAATATTTGATCAAGTATCTGGGCAACATGGCCAAGCCAAGTTGATACAAAATTAACTATCACACTGGATCACAAGGGCTAACTGACTTTGGTCACACCCTGCCCTTGCCCCTATGTCCCACTCTTTTTCATTCTGGGTCCTGCTATTTTCATTTTATCATGTCTTCATCTTCTCCCCCGACCTTTGAGGTACCTTTCCTTTCTGACCCTATCCCTAGTCTCACCTCCTACCTCCCACTCAAAGCCCTTCCTTCCTTAAAAAATGATGTTAGTCATTACACTTTAGGATTTAAATTAATCATTCTGTTAACCGTCTTACTAACTTTCTCATTGTAAAAGGAAAGCATATTAAAAGAATTTCAGGGATCGATGAAGAGCTAAGGGAGGTGTTTTTTTAGGAAGAGAAAGTGACTAACTCACAGAAATCAAGACAAAGGGGGACAGTCAGATTTTGCAGACGACAGAAAGCAGGTGAACTCTAGAGATCTAGAAAACTAGCAAATGGTCTCTTCAGGGTGTCATCATCGCAATAAATGAGCTCTAGCTATTTCTGTCATTATTCCTCAGGGTACTCAAGATTGCAATTACTTAGGGGAGAGAGAGCATCTGATTGATTGAACTTGGGTTCTGTACTCACTCCTGGGCCAGGGGGAGGCAGGGTTCCTGGTCTGACAATCCTTCCAAGGCCACATGAACCGGAAGAGCTGTTACCAGAAAAGGGCAGAGTGAATCTGGGGCAGCAAAAACATTTGTTGCTTATTGACTATCACTGCAAGGATTACTCAGAGGGTGATGCAGAATCAGCATCCCTCTATTTCTAAGATGACCTTGAATGTCAGAGCAAGGCACAAACAGGATGCAGAGACATGTGGAGTATCTGGAGCAATGTCTTACAATCCTTCCCCTCCTGCTGGATGCTAAGGACCTTAAGGACAGGAGCTATGTTTGCCTGCAATTTATTTGGCAGGCCCTGCAGGGCTGTGCAAATGATTCTATTTAATTTTTACTACTTGTGAGAAGGCACAGAGGGCTTTGAGAGGGCACAGAGGGCCTCTTATAATAGGTAGATACACACGTTAGCTGATACACTGGAAATTTTCCAGCAGGCATATCCTTCCAAGATGATAAATATTCCTCCTTGTTGGAGAAATTGAAGACATTTGTACTTGCAGTCTAGCTTACCTAGTAAAACAAGACAAATTAACCAGTGATATGGAGAAACACGTTTGCATTATTTTCCAACCTTGAAAATAATGTCAGATTATTGGACTGAGAGCCAGTGTCATTTTCTCGATCTGGTAATTATTTGGACAAAATCTCCTTGATTTCTAGGTTCAAATTCAAGATGCCAAAAAAAAAAAAGAAAAAAAAAAAAAAAAAGGATGGAAACTAGGCCAGGCATGGTGGCTCACCTCTGTAATCCCAGCAGTTTGGGAGGACAAGGCAGGTGGATCACCTGAGGTCAAGAGTTCGAGACCAGCCTGGACAACATGGCAAAACCCTGTCTCTACTAAAAATACAAAAATTAGCTGAGTGTGGTGGTGGGCATCTGTAATACCAGCGACTTGGGAGGTTGAGACAGGAGAATCGCTGGAACCTGGGAGGTGGAGTTTGCAGTGAGCCGAGATCACACCATTGCACTCCAGCCTGGGTGACAGAGTGAGACTGCATCTCAAAAACAAACAAAAACAAATAAGGAAACTGGGCTCAGGGATATGAAGGTACACAGGTGACGGGCAGATAGGGACAAAGAAGAGAACCTAATCCTCTGGACTCCCCAAGCCATTCTAATATTTGTTTTTGTACGTTAAGAACTTCTGCAAGTTAGTAGATCAGAACTCAACTAGTTTCCTGTATTTCCTGATAACCTCTTTGACCCACCCATGATTTAGCTAACATCTGATTTGGTCAAGGAAGCAACTTGGTCCTCAGGTTCAGTGTGAGACTTCATGAAATTGACGTGAATTTTTTTTTTTTTTTGACACAGGGTCTCACTCTGTTGCCCAGCCCGGAGTGCAGTGGCACAGTCTCGGCTCACTGCAACCTCCGCCTCCCGGGTTCAAGCAAGTCTCCCACCTCAGCCTCCTGAGTAGCTGGGATTACAGGCGCCCGCCACCACACCCGGCTAATTTTTGTATTTTTAGTAGAGATAGGGTTTCACCATATTGGCCAGGCTGGTCTGGAACTCCTGACCTTAGGTGATCCGCCCGCCTTGGCCTCCCAAAGTGCTTGGATTACAGGCATGAGCCACCCCGCCTGGCTGGCGTTAATTTTTTCTTCTGTCCCTAGTTCATCTTCAGGTCACTGTCTGATTTTATTAGTTCTCAAATTTAAATCACTATGCATGCTCAGCTCTTCTAGTTATTTCCCTTCTTTTCTCATGCTGGGGGGAGAAAAAAACCCGATTTATTCTAATTAACTGTGAGAAATGAAAGAGAACAAATCCTATCATTCCCTATTGTCTTGCGCAAATATGAAGAGAGATATGATAGTGGGGTAAATAAAAACAAAAGGAAATCCATTCGGCAGAATCTTTCTCCTCCCAGGGTGCTTGAAGTTAGATATTCTGAGATTTCAGTGGAGGAATGGTATGGTGGAAACATCGAGGTTCAACAAGGCTGAAATTTAGGTCATATTTTATTCAGATTCTACCATGTATAGTGTCTAAAATGAAACAACGCTGGGGAATGAAAAGGTTGTCAAAGATACAAGTTGCCTTTATTAAAGACAAATATTCAAAAAAAAAATCACAATTCGCTTTCAAATCTGAAGAAAATACTGAGTTTTCCAGGCTACACATAAATAAAACTGCCAACGATGACAATTCCAGCAACTAGGAAAACAAGTACGCCTACAAAGAAAAGTGAGAAAATTCATGGAGAATTTGAACTCAGAACCAACTCCTCGGAGCTGATCTTTTCTGGGGGGGAAGCCAGGTAACGCGCCGGGTGCTCTCAACGGCAAGGCCATGTTTAAGAGAGTCTGGAGGCCAGGCGCGGTGGCCCACGCCTATAATCCCAGCACTTTGGGAGGCCGAGGCGGGCGGATCACGAGGTCAGGAAATCGAGACCATCCTGGCTAACACGGTGAAACCCCGTCTCCACTAAAAAATACAAAGAACTAGCCGGGCGTGGTGGCGGGCGCCTGTGGTCCCAGCTACTCGGGAGGCTGAGGCAGGAGAATAGCGTGAACCTGGGAGGCGGAGCTTGCAGTGAGCCGAGATCGCGCCACTGCACTCCAGCCTGGGCAACAGAGCGAGACTCCGTCTCAAAAAAAAAAAACAAAAAAAAAGAGAGTCTGGAAGCACAGAGCAAGATAGACATTCGAGGGCGAACAACTGCTGGCAAAGGGATAAGTGATCCGAAGCATTAAAGCCCTTGCGACAAATTCCGGCGCGAACGGCCAGGGGACATGAGACTTGCAGGAGCAGCCCTCGAGCGAGCCGCAGGCGGACGCGCACGCTGGAAACGGAGTCACCTGCCGCGGCCCCGCAGCTCCGGCCAAAATGGCGCCGCCGCTATGCCCGCCCCGCGCGCGCGCCCTGTGGAGCGAGGACTCCGGGGACGCGGTCGGGGACGCGCGCGTCCTCACCGCGGCTGCACGCCTGCGCGAGGGCGGGCGGCGGGGGCGCGCGCACGGCGGGGGCGGGCTTTGCCGAACGCAGAGCTGCAGCCACCTAGCCGGACGTGTCGGCGAAGATGGCGGGCCGGGTGAGTGCCGGTCTGGGAGCCCAGGCTCGAGGCAGGGGCCCCGGGCTCGCGGGCACTCTGGGGTCCAGGAGGCCCCAGGGGAGTGGGAGTGAATCCGAGCAATGGGGCACGAGGCCAGAGCGGGACTCGAGGGTAGCAGGGGAGCGGTGGCAGAGGATTAGCCCTCCTCAACAACTCCACCCCCCTCGAGGGGAGATGACCCCCTCGTTACCCGCGTCTGCTGCGCCTCCGGTCGTCCTCTCCCATTCCTTGGGGCTTGTTTCCCTCGTGCTCCACACAGCTGCAGGGTCGCGGTCGCCGAAGCCCCTTCTGACTGGCTCTGGGGGTCTTTCCGCACCCCCTTGCGAGGGCTTATTAGGGGGCGCCGGAGTAACTGCCGGGAGCACGTCTGCTGCATTCGGGGCGAGCGGTGTAGGAAGGATCATCAGGAACCCACGTCTGGCTCTTCACAAATTAAAGGTCGTTGGGAAAGAGGAGGGGGTGCCAATGACTTTTAGTGTTAGAGCCCTGCCATCTGGGGGACCTGTCAACTGTCGGGTCAGGCGGGAATTTGCTTTAGCTTGAAGTGAGGATGGATTTGGGCTGTCACGTTTTGTTTTTATGGATGACAGTCGCTTTCAATGCAGCAGGATATGCTGTAGTTTCAGGGTTTTAAATTTACTTCCTCCTTTAGGCTTTAGGATTGCTGGGTAGGATGGATTTGGCGAGGAGAGATAGAGCTGGTTGAGTGCTGTATTGCAGTCTGCCTTGAGCTAAAAGCTCTCAAGGGATGAGTCCTGCCCAGAGATTACACTGGTTATAAACCTGAGGACATTAACTGCGTCACTGGGGGCGAAAGATGTGCTTGACTGATCTCTTTGTACCAGAATTTTTGAATAAGTTTGCATAGATTTATGCATATATGCAAAAGCCCTATCTAAAGGGACTTGTAGGTCATGAGATGCTAGAGTCAGAAGGGATCTTAAAGGTCATTTAGTTTGGCTTCTTTCTCTTCCTTTTCCCCATGGTCTCTCCTTTTAAGGCTAGTCCTTCTACCAATACTTCAGACCCTATCTGTATATTCATCTGCTCCTTCTTAATATAATCAAGCTTCTCTATCTTAAAACAAACCCTTCCCCCACCCCCACAGCTGTCACCTTTTCCCTTCCCACTTTACAGCAGGAAATTTGATGGAGTTGTCTATATTTATTGTCTTCCATTTGCTTACCACCTACTCACCCCTCAACCTACTGCAGTCTGATTCTGTCCCATCATCCCACTGAAACCTGTCCCTCAACTTAATAACTTTTCAATCCTTATTTGATGTCTCAGCAGCTTTTGACGTTGTTGACCATGGCCTCCTTGACGGAAAGCACTCTTTACATGTGTTCTTGGATGCCTAGCTCCTGGTTTGACTCAGACCTCTCTTTTGCGGACTCACCCTCCTCTACTTTGTTATTCATTGCTGGTATTCCTCAAAGGCCATCTTCTCTCAATTTTCTGCTCAGGCAATCTCTTCTAAGCCCATAGCTACAACTGTCTATATGGCAGTGATTCTCAATATTTTACCCCCAGTCCAGACCTGCCCTTGAAGTTTCAGGTTAATACGTCCAACAGCTTATTTAAAATCAAGGCCCCTGAAAGTCAGCTTTTTCAATTCCGAACCCAGGATCTTAGCCCACCTAACTTGTGCAGATGCTCCTCAACTTAACGATGGAGTTACCTTCTGATAAACCCATTGTAAGCTGAAAGTATCAGAAGTTGAAAATGCATTTAATACACCCCATCTACCGAATAACATAGCTTAGCCTATCCTACCTTCCTTACACATCCCCAGAACACTTACATTAGCCTACAGTAGGGCAAAATCATCTAACATAAACCTATATTATAAAATGTTGAATACCTCATGTCATTTATTGCTGTGCTGATAGTGAAAAACAGAATGGTTGTGTAGGTCCTCAAAGTACAGTTTCTGTTGAATGCCTATCACCTTTGCACTATTGTAAAGTTGAAAAATGTTAAGTGAAACCATTGTAAGTCAGGGACTGTCTGTACCTATTCAGTGAGATAGGAATATCTCACTGAATGATACCGTCATCCACCCAGTTATATAGGCTGGGAATCTGGGGGAGGGAGAGGGTAGGTAACCCTTTATATCTCTCCTCTGCCCTATACAGAGGTAAAATTTGGTAAAATTTGTCAGAGTTCTGCTCCTGCCCCCCATAAAGGTATTTAATTAGGGTCTAAAGACTCTGGTTTGGGAGAATGGTTGCTTTAAACTAGATCCAAATCACCCACTGGACTAGCTGGATTGGTCACATGGGTTCTGTCATTTTAACCTAAAAATCTCCTGTCTGTCCACCTTTCCACATCTTCATTTTTACCTCGTTTTCCCAGACTACCATCATTTCTGGTCTGGACTACTGCAGGAAGCTTCCAAGTAGTTGTTTTGTTTTGTTTTGTTGTTTTTTTGGTTTTATTTTTGGGACGGAGTTTCGCTCTTGTCACCCAGGCTGGAGTGCAATGGCGCGATCTCGGCTCACTGCAACTTCCATCTCCCAGGTTCAAGCCATTTTCCTACCTCAGCCTCCTGAGTAACTGGGATTACAGGTGCCCGCCACGACACCCGGCTAATTTTTGTGTTTTAGTAGAAATGAGGTTTTACCATGTTGGTCAGACTGGTCTCAAACTCCTGACCTCAGGTGATCCACCTGCCTCGGCCTCCCAGAGTGCTGGAATTACAGGCCTGAGCCACTGTGCCCGGCCTCCCAAGTAGTCTTCTTAGAGCATATGGCCCACCTCCGGTTCATTCTGGACACTGACATTGATTGTTCCTTCCCATGCCCATTACTACTTAAACCCTGCCTCAGCAGCATCCCATTACTTTTTAGAGAAAACCAAATCCTTAATGAGGCCTTCAAGACTCTTTGTGGTTCTGCTCCTGCTTCTTTCCACTCTCTCTCTCAACTCTCTGTCCTCAGGTTATATGATAAATGAGCCTTTCAATTCCTTCAGCTTGTAGTTTCTCTTACCGCAAAGTCTTCAAGTGGTGTTTCCTTTCTTTGTAACGTTCTTTGCCACAACCATTTACCTCCTATTCAGACATCATTTAGCTACTCAAGGGAGGCCTATTCTGACCCCACATTGTAAGTAAGGATCGTTTGTTATATACCCTTGAAGAACTGTATTCCTCTCCTTAGAGATTTTTGTTTTGTTACTTTGAGTGTATGTTGTTATTTGCTTCTACCACTTCACCTCAGTGAAAAGCAGAGAACATATAAGTTATTTAGTCATTATCAACTGCGCTTTGTGTACCTTCTGGGACTTAGGTACTCAATACATTTTTGTTGAAAATGAATCAATCTCTGAACACTCTGGTGGTAGATGGTATATTACCCTAAAGCTTGCCCATAATGTCATACAGCTATGTTACGTCTTTGTTATCTGGAGTTCCATGTAACTTTTACACGTAGTTACTATTTCTGCTGTTTAAAGCTATATGGAACGTGTAAACGCAATTCTTTTTCCATGTAATAGCTACTCGAGCTATTCATTTACTTGAATACAGGTTACATATCTCCTCAGATTTTCTATTTTACAAGTTAAACATCCCCCAATTCCTAGCATATTTCATATTCCAAACGCTTAATCATTCAGACTACCTTCCTCTGGAAGTAACCTAATGTTACTGTTTTGTCAACCTTTCTTCTAAAATGTGCCCAGAGTGGAACACAGTGATCAGAGAAGAATGTACTTGAGCTATTATTCTCTTGAGATGGACACTACCATTATTCATGCCAGATAAAATTGTATTAGTGTTTTTTCTACAGTAAATCACGTTCTTGGCTCATAACTGAGCTTGTAGTTAATGAAAACTCACGTTCTTTTAAAATCAGCTCCCTAGCTCCTTTCTAGGTTTGGAGCCATTTTATTGAACCTAAATCAAGACCTTATCCTTTTACAATTCATTTTTTTAGGTCATTGCCTGTCTGCTATTTGTTGAGGTAATCTGGATTCTTAGTTCTTTCATGTTAGGAAACATAATAGCTGTCTCTTTCAGTTTGGTTAGCTCTGTAGGTTTAATAATCGTGACTTCTGTTTCTACGTTTGAGTTATTGGTAAAGGATAGAATAAGACAGGGTCAGAAATAACCCTTGAGCATATGCTGCCAGTGACCTGTCTCTAGACTGATACCCATTAATACACGGGTACTGTTGCTTAAGTACAGATATATCTCATTTAATCCCAACAAAACAACCCTGCAAAGTAGGTAGTATTATCTTTGTTTTTTGCAGAGAGAGAGAGAGAGATTTAGTAACTTGCCAAGTTCACATAGCCAGCAAGAAGCAGGGTCAGGATTTGAACTCAGATCAGCCTGGTACTGTTACCTAGTTCACCAACTTAGTTGCAAGAATGTAATGAAGACTAAGTTTACCTCACCTAGAACTTTTTGGACATAATAATGTTCAGAAACTATCTTCTACCTTTTGGAAAATCTGAACAACTTTGGCCCATCTGATTGTCTATCATTTCTTCTGATAGCCTTTATTTTCTAGTAATTACTGAGTGATGTTTAGCAAATATAGTTCACCTTGTTGCAATACTTTTATTTGTGCATATTTATGGAGTACATGAAAAATTTTTTACATGTGTATAATGTGTAGTGATCAAGTCAGGGTACATGAGTCCAATATATTAAGTATAGTCATCTACTCAGCTGTCAAACATTGAATTTATTCCTCGTATCACTGGATTTTTTTTTTTTTTTTTTTGAGATGGAGTCTCGCTCCATCGCCCAGACTGGAGTGCAGTGGCGTGATCTCGGCTCACTGCAACCTCTGCCTCCCGGGTTCAAGCGATTTTTTTGGTCCCATATGAATGACATTGGTATTTTGATAGGGATTTCATTGAATCTGTAGATTGCTTTGGCAATATGGTCATTTTAATGATATTAATTCTTTCCACAAGCATAGGATTTTTAAAATTTTCTTTCATTAGTGTTTTGTAGTTTTCCTTGTAGAGATCTTTCACTTCCTTAGTTAATGTATTCCTAGGTTTTTGGTAGCTATTGTAAATGGGATTGCCTTCTTAATTTCTTTCTTGGCTAGATCATTATTGGTGTATAGAAATGCTACTGATTTAAAGGTTTTCTAAACCTACAGATGTATAATCAGCAAAGACACAATTTGACTTGCTCTTGTCCAGTTTGGATGCCTTTCATTTCTTTCTCTTGTCTGATTGTTCTGGCTAGGATTTCCAGTACTGTGGTGAACAGGAGTGGTGAAAATGGGCATCCCTGCCTCATTCCGGCTTTTAGAAGAAAGATCTCACCTTTCCCCATTCAGTATGCGTTAGCTCCGGGTTTGTTATATATAGACTTTATTGTTTTGAGATGTATTCCTTCTATGCCTAATTTGTTGAGAGTTGTTTTAATCATGAAGGGATGTTGAATTTTATCAGATTTTGTTGTTGTTGTT